GACTGAAGTGGATCCAGAGGAGAAAATGAGCAAAGCAGACGGGAGCCTGGTGCTGGTAAGGAGGGTTTCCTGTGGAATGGGGTGGTGGACTGATCTCTCTTTCCTTGATTTCCCCCTCCTGCCATGCTTGAAAATGTTCCTGGCATTGCTTTACTTTGCTGGTCACAGGCAGAGATGGAAGAGCTGAGGGGGGCGGAGATGAAGAGCAAGCCTTCGTTCCACCATGGCAATGGTCCCTACAACGATGTCAACATCCCTGGGTGCTGGTTCTTCAAACTTCCTCACAAGGCAAGCTGGGGCTCCTGAGGCTCTTCCTGTCCCCCCAGTGCTGCTGGGATCCAAGTGATCACATTCCGTGGGATTGGGTGGGGGAAACCCATCTCTGTAGCCGGGACAGGAGGATGCACAGAGCTTTGCTGATGTGGAGCGGTGGCTTGCTGGGCCCTGACACCTCTTTTGCTGCTAAAGGATGGGAACGATAACAACGTGGGAAGCCCTTTTGCCAAGGATTTCCTGCCCCAGATGGAGGATGGCACCCTGCGGGCTGCTGTGGGCCGCACGCACGGGACAAGAGCCCTCGAGATTAACAAAATGATCTCATTTTGGAGAAACGCTCACAAGCGGATCAGGTGAGCAGCTGCTTTCGTGGTGACACCTCTGTGGGTGGAGGCTGTTGAGACAGGGGAGTTTGTGTGGGTGCACGGGGGCTCAGCATCTCACCTGCCGTGCGTCCCCTCAGTTCCCAGATGGTGGTGTGGCTGAAGAAAGGGGAGCTGCCCCGTGCGGTGACCAGGTACGGTGCCCAGATCTGGACTGTTGTTCCCTTTAGCCCGCGCCAGGAGGGCTCTTGCAGGGTGATGCTCATCCTTGCCTCTGTCCCAGGCATCCTGACTATAACGAGGAGGACGATTACGGGGCCATCCTGCCGCAGGTGGTGACCGCAGGCACTGTCACCCGCCGGGCGGTGGAGCCCACCTGGCTGACAGCCAGCAACGCCCGGGTATGGCATGCTTGGATCCCTGTGGGAGTGCTTTGGGGCTCCCTCTGTGTTTTGGACTGATGGGAGGTGTTTGGGTTGGAATAGGTGTTGGATGTGGATGCTGGGATTTGGGGTGGCAGGGCAGAGCTGGGCTCGTCTCGCTGATGTGCTTTCGTGTGGGAGAAAGGAAGGAGTCGGCAGGGACTGTGGAGCTTAGGATGTGCTCAAAGGGGAAGAAAACAGCAACATACCAGTTTCTGTCTTTCCTCAAGCTCCCTTCTTTGCTGGAGTAACCAAGTGGGTGATGGTCCATATGACTTAAACCCAGTTTTGACATGGAGAGCAAAGCTTGGGGCACAGGGTGCTGTGCCAGCTCTCTGTGGCTGTGGGAGGAAGGCTGCTCCTCTGCCATGGAGGAGGAGAGGGATGTGCTTACCTGGGCATCGTGTCCTGCAGGCGGACCGGGTGGGCAGCGAGCTGAAAGCCATGGTCCAGGTGCCACCTGGCTACGCCCTGGTGGGCGCAGACGTGGATTCCCAGGAGCTGTGGATCGCCGCAGTGCTCGGCGAGGCGCAGTTCGCTGGCATGCACGGTGAGCCAGAGCAAGGCAGGGGGCAGGGGGGTGATCCCCCCATCCTCATCCTCATCCCGTGGGGTGTCCAACCTCTGCTCCCCTCCCGCAGGCTGCACAGCCTTCGGCTGGATGACTCTGCAGGGCAAGAAGAGCAACGGCACGGACCTGCACAGCAAGACGGCCGCCACCGTGGGCATCAGCCGGGAGCACGCCAAGATCTTCAACTACGGGCGCATCTACGGGGCGGGGCTGCCCTTTGCCGAGCGGCTGCTGATGCAGTTCAACCACCGGCTGACGCAGCAGCAGGCGCGGGAGAAGGCCCAGCAGATGTACGCCGTCACCAAGGGCATCCGCAGGTGGGTGCTGCCCGGGAGAGTGCAGACAGGGCTGCTGCGGTGCTCCGCCCAGAGGAGCTGGGTTACTCGCTCTCCCTTCCAGGTTTCATCTCTCTGAGGAGGGGGAGTGGCTGCTGTCGAAGCTGGACCTGGCTGTGGACAGGGCGGAGGATGGATCGGTGTCGGCCCAGGATGTCCAGCGGATCCAGAGAGAAGCCATGAAAGGGTGAGATGGTCTGACCCTGCACGGCTCAGTGGCATGGGGATGTGAGGGGGAGAGTGCTGCAGCCTGATGGGCATTAGCCAGAGAAGAGAGATGGGGCTGGTCTGCCCTTCCTGCTCCTCCAGGGCCAAGGAGGTTTGATTTGGAAGTTGTCAGCCTCACCCACTTTCCCAGTGAACAATTAGCAGGATCTCATCCTGCAGCCCCAAACCAGTAGGGAGTGTTTAAGGGTCGCAACAGGGGACCTGCAACCCCCTCTCACTTTTTCAGCAAACCTCCCCTCTGCCCCACAGATCCAGGAGGGAGAAGAAGTGGAATGTGGTGGAGCAAAGAGTGTGGGCTGGAGGCACCGAGTCTGAGATGTTCAACAAGCTGGAAAGCATTGCCCTATCCCCCTCCCCACAGACCCCAGTGCTGGGCTGTCACATCAGCAGGGCCCTGGAGCCTGCCATGGTCAAGGGGGAGGTAAGGATGCAGCTCTGAGATGCTGAGATTTTGGCTTTGCTTATCTTTTCTGAGGTGGGTACCTGATGTTCAGCCCCTTTTAGATTGCTGGAGGCCTGCTAGGGTCTTGTAGCCATTCAGAAACCCATTGTGCCTTTATCTCCATGCCAGCAAGAAAACCCAGCCGCCCTGAGTTGGACAGATTTCTCTGGGAGCTGTCCTGTACGGGTACCGTGCCCTTGACTGCAGTGCTCTCTTACTGTCCAGCTCTCTCCTTTCCCCAGTTTGTGACCAGCAGAGTGAACTGGGTGGTGCAGAGCTCGGCTGTTGACTACCTGCACCTCATGCTGGTAGCCATGAAGTGGCTGTTTGAGGAGTTTGACATCAACGGGCGCTTCTGCATCAGCATCCACGACGAGGTGCGGTACCTGGTCCAGCACCAGGATCGCTACCGGGCAGCCCTGGCCCTGCAGATCACCAACCTCCTCACAAGGTGAGATGTGGTGGCTCTGGTGTCTCCTGGGGAGGAGCAGCAGCGACTGGAGTGGGACAGGCAAGCCCCTGGGGTTGGCTTTGCCTACAGCAAGCTGGTGCAGAGCAGTTTTCTTCTGCTCAGGGCAAATTAGCAGCACTGGGGGCTGCAGTTCCTTCATGTGGACTCAGGTGGCTATAAATGGACCTCAGCTTTGATTTCCAGGGATAATGTGCTGGCAAAAGCTTTTTTTTTTTTTTTATCATCAGCTTTTGGCCCTGCAGGGATGGAGCCAGTAACTGGCTCTGCTGGGATTCAAGTGCATTTCTTCCTGCTCCCTTAGGTCTGCAGCTGTCACATGGCAGCAGCCTTTGGGCTTAGTTGAGGAGCTGAGAGCCTGAAACTGTCCCATCCCTCATCCCCTGCTGCCTTCAGGGGACTGCAGGGGACATGGCTCATCTCTGCTGTGAGCACCAGCACTGCCACCCCTCCCACAGCCTGGGCTGCTCCTGCTGCTTCCTGCCCCATGCAGAACTAAGCTCAGCCTAGAAAGCTCCTGATCTCCAAGAGCTCCCATTGATCCAGCTCTGGCACAGCCAGCTTTGCCAAATCCCCTTCCCAGCACTGTGGGGTGTTTGGTTACACAGGAGCTGGCCAAGGTGAGCTGTTTCTCCTGTGTGGAGGCAGGAATGACACAAACAGCCTTTCTGCAGCCACAGCGGGGCAGGCACCCTGACGTTCCTGCCTTTGTGCTGGCTCCTGTGAGCACAGGGCTTCCTGCTGGGAAAATCCTGCATCTGCTCTGCCTGCCAGGGAGGATTAGCCAGCAGTGAGGAGCAAAATTCTTCCCTTTTTTCAAGGAGGCTCCATTACTTCCAAGGAGGCACCATTACTGTTCCTCCCATGCCCACTTTAGCAATACTTGACTCTTCTGCTATCCAGGACTTAGAAAGCACCTTGTCTCCCACCTGCTGACTGATGTGGGTGCACAATACCCTGTGAGGGGTGCCTGGCCAGTGTTGGTAAATGTGGCTGATTGGAACTGGGTGTGACAAGGCCAAGGGTGGTGTCCAGCACTGTCCCACCTGCTTTCTTTGCTCTCCAGGTGCATGTTTGCCTACAAACTGGGCCTCCAGGATCTGCCACAGTCAGTGGCTTTCTTCAGTGCAGTGGATATTGACCAGTGCTTAAGGAAAGAGGTGACCATGAACTGTGTGACACCATCAAATCCCATGGGGATGGAGAAGTACAATATCCCTCAAGGTGAGCAGTGTTCCCTGTAATCTCCTCTCCACCTGCAAGCTGCCCCTGTGATCTCCTCTGCAGGAGCCTTCCCGGCTTAAGCAGAGCACCTGGCCTGAGCAGTCATTCCCTGAGGGCTCTGCTCAGCTGAGGCACCTCATGAGCCCCTTGGTTCCTGACACATCATCTGACCTACAGGGCAGCCCCAGTACTGGAGCCTGCCCCTCTTTCCTCAGTTCTCCAGCGTTCCTGCTGCTGCTTTCCAAATATTTGTGACAGTGATGAGCCAGGCCTGGCTCTGTTCGCCCACTCTTTGTTTGCTTTGTGCCCCTTGGAGGAGCCCTCCTGTGCACTTCTAACACAAACCAAATTTAATTTCTTTTTCTCTGAAAGGAAGCACCTCAGCAACCTTGCTTTGTCTATTTTGCCCTGCAGACCCAAACTTTTCCATCTTTTGTTTCTTTCCCTCCTTCCCTGCTCTCCCTTAGCAGCTGAACAAGCACAGCTCTGTTCAGAGAACTGCTCTGGCGTTGCTGGGTGCTTCCTCAGCTGTCCCAAGGCCTCAAGTCATCCCTGTCTGCACTCAGTGTAACCCTCCAATTGCTGCAAGCAAACATTTAACTCGTGGCCAGGAAAGCAGCTCCTCCTCACTGTGCAGCAGCTCTTTCCCAGATAAGGGAAGAACCTGGCCTCAGATTTGTTCTCTCAGTCACTGCACACATCAGATGCTCTGCCCTTAAGTAACCTTTATTAGGACTCTTACAGGCAAAGGGTGCTTTCAGAAACAGGATTTGTGCTCTGTAGGCAAAAAGGGCACTTTTCACCAACAACAAGGCAAACTGAACAAGTGCATCACAATCAGGGTCAGCAAAAATGTAACAGCAAAACCAGCCTGGGCAGAGGAAGCTGTGGCCTCTCGCTGCTCAGGAGATGCACACAGCAGCTTCAACTCCAAGGCAGAGCAGCTCATGTTCCCAGCTCCCTGCTGGTGCTGGGTTTTGCATTCTCACCACCACCCAAAAATGAAGTTTGAATAAATTTAGGGCATTCTGTGCTAGATGCCCTGAACTAAAGTGAATCCCAACCATCACTCTCTTGCGTCGCAGTCTGAGTGTACTGCAGGGAACTGACTGTCCCCTTGTCTTCCAGGGGAAGCACTGGATATATATCAGATAATTGAAATAACCAAAGGTTCGCTGGAGAAGCAGTGACGACACCAGAGTGCCAGGACAGTTGTCCACACCACGTGCCAAAGCCTCCCTGTCCTTTCAGAAGCCGATCTTTTGGCAGGGACTGACTGATCCCAGCTGCTCCCTTTCCATTTTGCTGTAAGAAGGGATGTGTCTGAGGAAGATTCAAATAGCAGAGGTACTTCTGATGGCAGCAGCCAGCTGTGAAACCTGAGACAGGGGCCAGAGTCGCTCCCGTGGACACAAAAGAAGAAGGCATAAGTATTTGGCAAGAGAAGCAATAAACCATCATCTCCATATCTGCAGCCTCTGAGACCAAAACAAGTCCACCATGGAACAGGCACTGTGAGAGGAGGCAGTGGCAGCAACCCCAGTTTATTTTTTTCTCTGTCTCTTCTTTTTGGGTTCCTGGTTCTCTTCTGTCTGCTCCGCTGTGCTGCTCTGGAGAGGGGAGGGAGAGAGCAGCAGTAGAGTGTGATTGTTTTTGTGTGAGTAGTCTAAGGAATGTTTACCTAGAGCAAGAAGCCAGCTGTGCAGAACAGAATTTAGCTCTTTTTTTCTCACTAACAAAATTACCTGAATATGAGATTCTTGTCAGCCACTGAGACCTTCCCCATGGGCCACCCCCTCCCCAGTTCATGCTGGAACTTAGACCACGGGCTACCAGTGGCACAGGACAGGGATTCTGTCCTGGGTTTTGGCTTGTTGAAATACTCAGGAAAATATGGACAGAAGCACCAATAAAATCCTGGACAATCAGCAGAGTAAACTCTTTATTTTTCTTAGCCAGCATGTTGCACTGCCTTCACCAGCACTGTGTAGTAGAGATGGGTCTGAGGAGAATGATGCCTTGCAGAATTTGCCCTGCCAGGTCTTTATCTACAAAAACTTGCGTACAAAACCCACTTTGTATTGTGGTGCAAAGGTCTGATCCTGGCCAACAGTTTCACTTCCCAAGATCAGGGACAGAGCTGGTGCATGACAATAAAGGCTGCTTGAGGCAGAGGACTGGGGTATAGGGGGTGTTCTGAGAGCAGCTGTTCACTCCTTCCTATCAGCCTAGTGAAAGCTAGCCCAGGAAAGACAAGCTGTTCTAACCTCACACATTCCTGCACAACTCACAAATACAGCTGGCTTCTAAAGAGGAGGAAACCTATCAGTAAAAGCAGCCAAATGAATGCTGACCTGGTCGTTGTGTGGCTCGTTCTCAGCATCCTCCGAGTTCCGCTCCTGCAGGGCGCTGTCCAGCACGGAGGCGTTGATGCGGAAATCCCGGGAGGTGCTTAACTTCATGTACTGCATCAAGTTCACCTGCAGCAGCCAAGGGGAAACCAGGCAGGGAAAACATTCAGCCATGAGCATCTTAAGTTTAGTTTTCTACCCTGCCTAGTCCTTTGCACAGCACTGGGACAGAGTCCATCACAGTAATAATGCAGGACTGAAGCACAAAGTGGGTGCAAAAGCACCTGCCCCCGGGCAGTCCAGGGGCCTGTTCACATTCTCCTGAAAGCCAAGTGATTGCCAGCTACTGTCACTCTCATGTAGGACCTCGCTGTGGTACATCTCATGACACAGACTGGGGGAGAGTGAGGAAAGGTGACACAAAGTGTGCATGTTCCTGCTCCAGCAGGAACCACAGGTCACAGGCAGGACTGATGTTGGCACGGGCTGGTATCAATAAGGCAACAATTCAGCAGTGTTGGGCCAGGAGCACAGGCAAGGGCTGAAAGGTCCCTACACCTTCCTAATTTGAGCATTAAAAGAGACTTTAACAACAGCCCTCCACCATGCCATTGATCCCACTGTTGCACCAGGTTCAGGTCACAGAAGATCTCTCTGCTTTACATTACCTTTGACTTCTTGGAGAGATGGATAAGGAACTTCTCATATTGCTCAATTGCAAAAATCAGGTTTGGGATTGGCTTGGTCTCCCGAAGCACCTTGGCCTGAAATGTGAGATGGGTCAGATTTGGAAGGGCACAATGGCACTGTAGCATGACATGAAGAGCACAACATTCCCAGTTTAGAAAAGAGTCTTCAGTAGCCTTGCTTTGTACCAGTCCTGTCCCACCCAGCCCTGTCAGCAACTTTAAATTGACTCCCAGGATGGTTCTGCAGTGAGGCTCTCCCATGCATTGTTTTGTGCTCTGCCTGCAGTCCACAGCCCTGACATCCCTGTCAGCAGCTCCTCTGCTCCAGCTCTCCCAAGGCAGCACAAGCACGAGCCATCCAAGCAAGGAGCACCCTGACTTTTCACCACATTGTTGTCCTGGTTATTCGACACCACTGGTGTTTGTTCCCCACGGTGACAGAGTGGTGAAGGACATGCAGCATTTCAGCCCATTTCCATACACTCAGGGAAAAGCTAGGGAGATCATATTTGTGGCTTTTTTAAACCCTTAACATCACAGGAATGTCTGGGACAGCTGACGAGATGGAGGAAATGCTATCTGGGAGCACAAACAAAGGACATCAAGGACCAGGAACCTGCCAGCCTGTTCACTTGCTCCCAAACAAACAATCTAGTCATTTTTGACTGCTTTACTTCAGTGGAATCCATTCCTTCCTTCATCTTGAAATGTACTGATAAAATTAAGAAATACTTAAAGAGGATGCAATATTGGTTCCAATAAATTAGCCCATATCTCTAATCTCATAGCTTACCCCAAATGGTAAAAATACCAGAAAAGGCAGACTATCCAGATTGACCTTTGTTTCATGTCCATGAGATTTTAAGCTGCATTTAGTGAAGATGGCTTTTTTGTTGTGTTTTTTTTTGGTTGTATTTTGTTTGGTTGTGGTTTTTTAGACTTTTCTCTGAAATTACAGTATATTAAATTTGATTTTTACTTAAAGGCCCAAATGACAAATTACCTGGTGATCTGTAAGAAGCCACCAGGTACCACAAGTATCGATCCTGCAACTACAGCCCATGTTGTCATGAAGTGAGTCAGTCTTACCATTACTGTGGAGACTGCAGCAGCTTCGTCCTCTTTCTTCTTCTTTTTCTTCTCTTCTACAAAGCTTAAGCTCTCACTGTGGATGTTCTGAAGGAGAATGCCAAAAGATGTGTCACAGAGGGTGAGCAGGGAAGAAAGGACAGCCAAGAAAGGCCAGAGAAGTCTTTGTTCCAGCTAATAGCATTACCAGCTAGATAACAGAAAGGTAGTGCTATAAGGGTAGAATCAGGTGTGATCAAAAAAAAAAAAAAAAAACAACAAGAAAGAAACTAATTTCCTAATTTATACATTCAGAACTGTGCATGTATGAGAAGTCCCCAGCAGTGATAACTGCACACCATGACACCTTCCCCAATATGTTGTAAAATTCCTGTGGTCCTCACACAAGTACCCAGTTCCTCTCCAGGCAGATAAATCCCAGCTCCAGCACTGCAGTCTTTGGCACCCACATTACTTCACACTGTGATGACTGCAGTGTTGTTGACCTTTATTTGCCATTGTGGTTAACAGCAGTATTAATCTCATCCAAAAAACCCCACATGAACAGAGGGGAAAAAAACCCAGCTAAAACCCAGCTCCTTCCCTGCTCAAGCAGAAATCAGCATGCTCAGTCCCAATGGTGCTGAAATGTCTTGTGCTATATTTGACAAAGTAGAGCTTGAACTCTATGAAACTCAGGTCATGTCAAGAAGATTAATAATCCCCAAGGGTGCCTGTGTACTGGAGCTGATACACCACTCAGCATCAGACAGACTGGCTGTGATTGTGCCAGTTAATTTAGGCCTTACCTGTACGTAAGTAATGAATGAGTAACACTGTGGGGTCAGATGGGAACCTGAGAGCTTCACCTGTAAAGGAGCAGACAGAGAGGCTGGTGTTACTCCTAACTCAAGGCAATGAGCCATTTCCCCAGAAATATGCTCACACTCACCAGCTTTTCCAGTCTTCCTGGGATGGTAGTTGAGCTGCTGCGGCAAGCCTGGATATACTGCAAGGAAAAAAGGAGTTTCTTCTAGGTGTGCTGTTCCCATCCTGTATCCAGGCAGAGCTCAAAGCAGCTCATAGAATGGCACAGTGGGGAGGGCAGGATTTGCACAGACACCTTCCCCAGTGGCTTGTTATATCCCAAATGCCATGTCTGCATTCCAGAGCTGTGAGAGGAGAGCTCTGGGGCAGCCACCACCTCGTCTCAAAGGAGCTCCACAGGCCTGTGGAGTTTTCATGGCTCAGCTCCCCCAGGTCCTGCTTCAGGGAATGGAAATGAGTGGCAAGGGCAGGGCTGGTGAGCACTGTGAGAACACTGTGAGTGCCCTTCATTGTGCACACAGTTGTGTAGAGGAACCCACAGCTCACACTGGAAACAGCAACTCCAAGCCATGCAAAGCCAAATTCAGCTGGAGAGAAGCTTTCCTTTTATCTCCACTGGTACAACTATCACTGCTCAGAAAGGTCATGAAACTGGGCATGAAAGCCAACAGAACAAGGGCTCAACTCCTTCAAGAGATCAACAGCCCAGTCCTGAGCCTGGCTGCTGCCAGGGGTCACTGTGAGCTTGCTGCAGCAGGTGGGGAGAAGGTTTTTAGCTCAGAGGCAGCCCACTGTCAGCAGAGCACACTCACGTGTTTGATGAGGGAGGTGAGAATTGCGTATGTCTTGCTGAGGCTTCTCAGCAGTGTGTCCACACAGCTCCCTGCTGGGAGTGCAGTCTGCACCAGCTCATGATAGACTGTCAGAAGAGTTCCCAGCTGCAGAATTACACCTTTCTCCAGAGCCTGACTTTGGTTTGATGCCTGAGAGGAGTCTTCTAGAAGAAAGAGGTGAATATCTGGTGAATATATATCTAATGAATTCAGTTGTGCAGGTGCGAGGCACAAAAGACCATCTTTGTGTCTGATGCATAAAGCCCCAGTGGGGTAAGGGGAAAATAATCACTGGAGAGATTTTATGACAATACCCTTATCTTACTTTGTTCATGTGGAACCAACTCAAGGGAGAGCTTAACCTGACCTCAGATGATGCTATCTCAAAATTCTCAAATGTATTTTTGCTCTCTGTCTTTACCTGTTTTTGACAGAGGTGTAACAGTAAGAACTGGACCACTTTCATTACCTGATGTGTCTGACCCCAGACTGGTGAGTTTCTTGATAAGCCAATCCACCTCCTCAAGGACCTTATCCACCTGACCCAGAACCAGCAGCTGAGACAGAAACCAAGAACAAAACAGGTTTTTGGAGGAGTTTGGCACAACAGGAACCTGCAAGCTGCTCCAAGCACAGTAGCCCTGGATACTGCAGGTGTCACACATATGCTGTTCTGACTCACACAGACAGTGGGGGCTGCAGTCTTGGCATTCACTATGGCGAAATGGCACCGACCCTCCACTTCTACGTCCTGGGCAGAGGACAGAAAACAAATTCTGGTAAGACTTTAACTGCTGTCACATAGTTTGTAGCAGAGATGCACTCAATTCTGACAGCACTGTGTGAGGAAGAGCTCAGCTGCTCCTGCATCATACCTGATCTATATCTCCCAGGCAGGCATGGATGTCTTGTGCAAGTTCCCGCAGGAGACCAACAGGGCTCTTGTAGACAACGTGGACACTGAAGAGCAGAGACAGCAAACCCTTGCAGCAAGAAATATCCTCTGTAGGGAAGAGAAAGTGACACAGTGCCAAGTGCAGAGCTTGCCTAGCTACTTAGGAACATCAGACATTCAGTGAGGGAAAGTCTCAGATTCAGTATGGATTCAACAGTAGGTGAAAATCCTATCAAAACACTCCAGCTACAAAAGCAGGGTTTAAAACATCAGGCATCCCTTGTAATAGTGCAAGGGGAACTATGGCCCACTGGAGCTGTTGTGTCACAGAAAAATGGTGACCAAAAGCACTGAGGAAGTGCAATACAAACCCTGGCAAGAGTACTGTCTTGGCAGAGTATAAATCCCGATTTGAGACTAAATAACAAGGGAAAAAAGTCAAGTAGGTGAGTGGCTTCCTTTCCTTCAGAAATGCTAATAGTTTTAGAGATGGAGCTCCCTCTCTAATACTTGTACTTATATCACAATGTTGTGGCAATCTGCCACAGAATGGGACTTGAATGTATCTTGACAAAGAGATAACACCAGGACAGAGCATGTAAGGGTCTAATGTCAGACCTGACATATCACATCTAAATGTGCTCCTCAAAGCTTACTTACCAAGAGCATTTTCTTTGCAAACTTTGACTGTCCAAGTCAGGAACTGAAGGAACTATTAAAGAGGAGAAAAGATACCATGACTTTGAAACAGAATTCAAAATACAAAACTACTACTAGTAATAAAAATCCAAGACAATTAATTATAGAGGAAGATGAGTAGGGAATCCAGCTGTGCTCTGTGAAGTTCCACAAGGGACACTTAGCCTACTAACAAGTCAAAAACTGAGATCCTGGACAGGGTAATAGCTATACATTCCCTTGGACAGAGTAACAGCTCCATTTAATTTAAGGCAAATGATGACTCCAGACTTCTGGCACAGTTAGTGCAGTTCCTAGCTTGTAAAATTGGGGCACTTTAGAAAATGACTTCTGCACGGAAGGAATTAGGCACTGAGCCAGTTTGGACTAGACATGTGTCTGCTGGCCTTTTTTGCCTCTACTCCCATGTGGAGGCCACACCACAGCTAGGCTATGTTAGGAGAACATGCTCAGGCAAACAAATCATTCAGGTGCTCAAAGGTAGGATCAGAATGTGCAGGAGTGCGATGGCAAGACAACTTTCTCTGAAGTGTCCTTGCAGGTGTGTGACAGGAGAGCTCTTCACAGTGTAACAGAACTGTCCCTTTGACCTGGGGTGGCCTGTGGGAGGAGGCAGGGCACACATGCCAGAGCCCACAGATGCCAACCCCATCTGATAATCTCCTTCCCACACCCATGGCTATGAGGAATACCTGCTGTGAGGCTGGGTCCAGGAGTTTGGACAATGTGGAGAGAACAGTGATGAGTGACTGTGTTTCCTTGGCATTGAAGTCATCTTCAGCACTGCTGAGCTGGTTCACCAGGGACCTCTGGTTAAGGGAAGGAAAACACCCCCTGAGTGTGAATGTGTGTTGCATAAGCAAATAACCAGAAGCTGCAAGCAGATAAAGGGATCAGCAGCAAGGAGAATGACAGAAGAGAGTACAAAAGAGAAGGAGAGTACAAAAACAGGACTCTTCTCAAGAACAAGTGCTGATTTTTGAAAGGAGTGCTTACATACAGCCTGCACATGGTCAGTGTGACTTTTAGAATACTCAGATAAGTTTATCCTGCAATGAAGAACCTTGAGTTCTGTAAATACACATGCACATCCACCCACCCTGAAGAAGCTTTCCTTAGGGACCAGAAACTTTCCTGAAGTGCTAGTGAATCAGTGCCACAGTTGCTATCACATACTAAACCCTGTGGTCAAGCAACAGAGAGCTAGCAGGGTTTCCTGCCAGAATCCCAAATGCTTTGGAACACTTGCAGCACACAGTGGTACTCACCTGAAACTGTCGGATCTGGAAGGCAGCTTTCTCTGTGACATTAATATCCGTTTCTTCTGCGTCACCATCAGTAATATCTGGCAGAGACAGAAAGGTGCAGAAAAAAGCTAAATGCCAAGAGCAGAATACAGGATTTATTTCCAAAAGTGGGAAAGACTGCTCACAGCTAGAGGAGGAATACAGACTGCAGAACCACGGTGAGCTGAAAAACATGTTAAAGGCAAACTTCAAATAGAGAATGCTGTATCAGGCCCCAGCTATCCTCTGCTGACAGACTGAGAGCTCTATTATAAAGGCAGGTAAAATACATCTCTAGAACTTGTCTCTGGTGTGAAAACATATGCTACTAAGCCCACCTTGTTCCTGAGAGACAAGAACCAGAGCCATCTCTCCCTAGTTATGGATAAAGGGTGCTGGGTCTGTACCTGCCCACACGTGGGCTGGAACCTGGAGGGTAGAAACCAGAGCAGAATGGTACCATGTGCCTACCCAGGGCTTGCAGAAACTGGGGGATCTTGGCAGAGTACAGCTGCTGCACCGTGTTGAAGATCCGCAGCAAACCTTCCAAGCACAGAAGTGAAATGCTTTTGCCTTTCTTCTTCCCTGACTCTTCAACAACGGTCGGAATTGAAGTGTACCTCCAAAGCAGAACCCTGTGGGATGGGAGATGAGATTTACTCCAGTAAAGCTGGCTGCACAGGGCAAGAATTAGATCTACTCTTAGGATAATATTTCTAATATAACTAAACTGGAAGGTCTTTTACCTATAGAAGAAGGGCAGGGGAAGAGGTATTTTTTAAGAAGATTTTATTTCAATGTTAGCAAAACAGCTACTGCATTCCTTCTGCACAGCTAAATAATTTAATTCTTTCCAGGTGCCAAGGGACCTTCCAATCCCATTTCAAGTCAATCTTTTTACACTCATTTCTTCCACCCTGCTTTCCCTCTTTCTCAGACCACCATGACCACTGGTGTCAAATCTACCAGTGACAAAAAGAGCTTTATTCGTGGCAGTTTGGTTCTGTGGAATGTCAGAATTCACTACAGGGCTCTCTATAAATAAAATCAGAAAGGTAAAGACATGCAAAGCAAAGTAAACAGCTGTGAGGAAAGCAAAATTGTTTGGCCCAAAGAAGACTTTTCTGTTTGTAGGCAAACATCTTTTTCCTGCTTCCCTAACCCCACTTCTTCCCTTTTTTGTTCCCTCTCCTTGCTTCTCATTAGTTGTGTTGCCTGCACAGATGATCTTATTCTGTTTCAATGTCCAATCACGCAAAACATGTAGCTCACATGTAGTCCTAATGACTGCAACAAAAATAGCCTCTATTATTTGGGGTGAGACACAAAACCGGCATTATGCATGGCAGGGGTAATTTGCATTTTGTGCTCTCTGCTGACTGGGCTCTGAAAAGACCCCATGCAGATATGACCTAGATTCCAAAAGACATTTACATGGTTCACATTCTTGGATTTCCAAAGGATTAGATGCATGAATGTCTTCAAGCATCTTGCAAAAGTCCTAAACAAATGATTTCTAAAGCTTGTGTCCCTCATACATCTGTTTTGTTCCGTAGTTCGAAGTGAATTTTAACTTGCTGCATTCCAGAGGCCTCAAGAATCCAGCCTGTAATCATCTTACCTTCTCCATGACAATGAGTGATGAACAAGAAGTCAGAAAGGGGCTGAAAATATTTGATGGCATTTGGTTCTTCCAGGCCAAGTTATTAAAGCTGTATCACTCAGTATGGCACAGAGACTGTAGTGCCTCCACTTGATTTCTCAGGAGCACAGAAAGGCAGTGACCTCAACCCAGCAACAACAACAGTTCCAAACAGTTACGGACTGCATTCTCCTTTCAAAACCCTCCCTGAGAATCAAAAATCCCCCAAATGCATTGCTGATGTCTGCACACGCCACACGGACTCACTGCGTGATTTTGCAGAGGTTCTGGAACATCTTCTCTGGATTTTGTCCATCTGGTCCGTCCGTCTGTCCCGTCTCCTCCAGCTGCTGCACCTTCTGCAGAGCCACGCTGACAGCGTAGCGCAGGAACTCGGTGCTGGAGCGCAGCACAGCCAGGCTCTCCTCGTGGCTTTGGGCATTGTCCCTGCAGGACCAGAACTGTCAGAGAACTGGGGATGCTCACAGGAAGCTCAGGGATGGCCTATGAGATCCCAAACTTAATATGAAATTGCAAATAAAATCCCTGGCTGAACTGAGGGTGGAAAAGACCCTTTGTTTTGGTAGCTTGTAGTGAACAGAGGATAAGAGCTGCACCAGCCTTTCCAAGCACACTAACACATGGTTTGAATTGATGTCTGGCTCTGCTCCACAGAGGTCTGGGACTCCTTCTCACCTGAACAGAGCTGTGAGCAGAGTAGATACAAAACCCATGGACAGGAAGCTCCGTGCAGTTTTGTTGCTCAAAGAAGATTTGTTCTTTCCAGCTTTCTCCCTCAGGATTTCAGAGAGTTTGTTGTAACATGTAAACAGGCCTAGGACATCCTCAAACTTGTTCTTACTGCAATAAAATAGTAGAAAGCATTAATGGAGAAAATGCATTCTCGGAGTTCCCTATTTGAAGCTTCCCCTGCCAAATTACACCATGACACTTCCTAAATGATGAAACCTGTTACATCCCCCTGCCCCCATAACAGTGTATACCTCACCCAATCCTCCTCAACTTGCTCTTCTACAAAATGTCAGATCCCATCTCCCATAACACATGACATTCCAAAGGAAAACACTCCCCAAGGCTCTGTGAGTGGCTGTGCCATGAGGCACTCACACTCAGATCACTGATTCTGTGTTGGCACTACCATCCTGTGCCTGCAATGAGACTGTACTCCAAAGAGCTGGGCAAATAATAGCACAGCTAGTGCTAGAGGGTAAGATTTAATGTTTTACCTGAAATTCCCGATGTTGAAATTGTATTCAATCAGAACCTCACAAATTCCCATCACCTGAATGGCATAGATGTTATTTTTCACACCGACACCAGAAGACGGCGAAAAATCTGCTGATTTATCCTGAGAGGTAAAGGAAACAAGTGAAAAATCTTTTTAAAATCTGACAAAAACTCGGCATCTTCTCCCACTGAGTCAAACTGAAGATCTGATTTACCAGTTCAAAGTCTTCCAACTCGCTCTTGATCATTCGTCGTGTGACAGATTCTAACATCTCTTCAAAGTCTTGCTCAAATCCCACACCCTCCTCCTCCTCCTCCTCCTCGTCATCTTCAGCTCCTTGGCACAGACGCACAGTGCTCTTGTACCAGGCAAGACAGTGCTGGATGCAGCAGAGCAGGTGGGCCTGGAAGGAGGAAAGCAGCCACAATCACACTCAGCCTCTGAGCTGGAGGTCACTGGCAGCAGCAGACATGGGCCAGACTGTTATGGTGGGATGTAAGGAGCTGTGGCTGCCTTTGTAACTGCCTTGAGTCTTGAGGATATGCCTCATTCCCAAACTGAGGGGATCAGTAATCTCACACAGAGCTACTCACTTCCAGCTTCAGACAGTGCTCTGTGCCTGAGCTTTTCCAGATGGGGTGTAAAGACTTAACTCCCACTGCTCCTTCCACCCAGCCACCTCAGGTACTGAAGGAGATGGAAAGGGAATTTCCAAAGGGACTCTCACTCTAGCTGAAGTGTCTGTGCCCTTCCCGGGTGTGCTATTGCACACAAGCTTCCTTAGGGGAAAACAAAATGATTAATTTGAATTTGTTCCCTTGGAAATCCAACAAATCATTGAGGTCTCATCTCCAACAATTTCAAAGGAGCAAAACCAAAGGACAAATTCTTCACCCTGCTACACACACACACTGCACAACTATTTTATGTGAAATTAAATTAAAGGAGGGAAAAAATCCCTGTAGGGTGAACTCAATGGAGGATAACAGAAGAACACTATTCCTAGAGCATTTTTCACACAGGTCCCCACAACCACTATGCTTGGGGAGCTCTAATAAATAGCCTGAGGCAGGGGTGAGATGCCCAGCTCTGTTGCTATTAAAAGAATTGCTCCAGGCTAGAAGAGGCTGAAGAAGCACAAGGTATTCAGCTCATGTAGGACAACTAAAATGCTAGTAATAGATGAGCTTGCAGCTGTGGCCAACCAATATAGCTCTTACCAGTGGTTCTTTCAGAAAGATTTGATCTCCCTGAGCCATAATACATCCCTCCAGTTTGAGTGGAGGCAGGAGGTCTTGCTGGGGCAGGTAATATTGCTTTATCTGTCACAGAAAACAAGAAATAAAAATAACCAGTTACTTAGTAACTGAGCCTCTTAGGATGTTTGAAAACAGAGTATAATAATCTTTGTACCCCATTCTAGAGAGCAAAACCTGCCACTGTGATAAGGGGACTGTACAAGTACATGAGCCACGTCATCTGCTCTACTGGTGATTGAAATCCCTTCTTGAGCTGCTCCTGTACCTCAGCCAGGACACGTCAGTGCCCTAAAACAGGATTAGCTGACCACTTGCTGTTGTGTTGCTTCAACAAGTAACATCACTTGCAACCCACCTGCAGTGTTACCCCTCCTTTAAACAGTGAGGATCAATAGCTGCTGCTGCTATAGAAAGTTATAGATACATAATGATGCTATAAAATTTTATGCCTTTACACCAACTTACTATTAAGTGCCCTCTGTTACCCAAAAGCTGTCTTAGCTCTGTTCACGTTCCTTTCTCAGACCCTATACTGTCATGGGAAAGCTGGAATTAGTCAGCATGAACTCTTTGGATGATTAAAGGGAAGAAAATTACTTGTCTCAAAGAAAGCACAGCCTGTCCAATGGATTGAGGAAATGTGATTGTCTTGTTGCCATGAGCAACACTGCTGGGGGATGAGTTAATCCTCCCAGATCCTGCATGGACTTGGGTATTCTCCCGATGGGAAGACAGCAACAATAATTACTGTGTCAGCACATATCCTTGGGGAACTATGGGAGGGTAACTGCTGTGCACTGCTAAGGAACAGGGAGAGCACAAAGAACTTCTCTGGGCTAACACTTTCCACAGCACCTAAGAACTGAAGGGTTGGAAAGAGCTCCAAGAGATCCTTCCTCTTCCACCCTATGGCAGGCAATGAACCCGTCTCCAGACGTTTACCTAGTCTGCTCTCTCAGCGTAGCAGGGGTTTGAAAGCCTCTTTAGGGAAGTGTCACAGCACCCAAACATGTTTCCAGTGTGAGGGAAAGAGATTTCCCCAATATTTAACCTGAATTATTTGCCATACTGGCTGAAGTGCAGAATTCTGCAGCCCCACCATGGAGCAGGACTTTACCTGAGACAACAGTGTTTCCATTACAGAGCTGGCCAGCTGGGAGTTCCTGCGAAGGACATCATAAAAACCCTGGAGACAGGAAGGAAGGACACGTTGGCTGACACAGCACAGAAAATGAACCACAGGCATAAGAAGTTGGCGTCATAAGATTGCGATGACACTTTGGCACTGCAAGGAACCATGAGGAAGTAACAATGTGCTCAGTGTAAAACTCCATACCTGGCAAAGCCAGGGCACCACAGAAAGAAGGTATGAATCAGAAAAAGTATGAATTTCCTCACAGGGGCCCTCTCACAAGCTGTATCTCCCTAGCAGCGGTGGCATCAAGCCCAGAGTGACTTTCACTGCTATTTAACACAAGCACAAGATCCAACTTCAAACTGTGAAACCCTGCTTCAAAGGCAAAACAAGCCAGCGGGGAAACTGTAGGAGGCAACAAATCCTGCAGACTGAGAAAACTCAGTGGATGGATAAAGCAAGCACAAGTTTTCTAGCAACAGTGATGAGTACACCCAGAACCTGCAGCTCATCAAAGGTCAATCCAACCCAAGACAAGAAGGAAACAAAACCTCCCTGACTGGCACAGGGTTTTTTCTCAAGGTGGTACCCCCATGGTTATAACACAACCTGAGATATGCACCCAAAAATGGCCCTTTATAACAGGCCTATCACAACAGACCTAAGGACAGCCAAATTTTTATAGAAACTTGGAAAGGAAGAGGAGAAAAGAGAGATCCCTGATGCAGTCTCTAAGGAAGTTTCTCCATACTCTCCAGACAGGGTTTTCTTTGGAGTCCATAATTAACTCTCAACAGCTCCACATCTATCCAGTGCCTGTTATATCTCTCCTCTTCATAGGGCATCAAATATCCTTCTCATTCCCTAGGCCCTACCACAGCAAGACAGACTTTGATATATTTTTGCTCTTAAACAATGCATGAGCTGAAGAAGATACATCAAGGTGTCTTTGGGTTCATAACAGTCAAAAAAAAACAGCAACAGAAGGAGAGAAAACATGTTACACATGTCCCATGAAGAAAAAAACCGAGCTGAAAGGCTGTTTTCCACAATAACATGATTGTTATTTACCTGAGGCTAGAGAAGAATCAGACCACAGAAGAGCTTGTGGCTGTTTAAGAGACAGAAGAAACCATGTTTACCTCATATAACATGAGTCGAACGTCTGCTTGCTGGCTCAAACATCGCCTCAGGCTGCCCAGGATTTCTAGGCAGAAGGCCTCATTAGCTGCAGAATTATAGCAGGCATGAACATCTGCCTGGACCTGAGAAGGAACATTAGTCACGTTATACTGGTTACAATACCACAACACAGGAGCAAGGGGTAAGGGTCTGGCCCCTGAACAATCACTGAGATAGTCCTTGTGCTGCCAGGCTCCTCATCATTGTCATGGAGCAGTGGGAGTGCTCCCCCGAGCACTGGTGCTGTAAGAGAGAATGACTCTGAGAAGCAACATCTCCAGGCCAGCTTCTCTTTGCACATTGCACTCCCTAAAGCTTTCCTTACAGGAAGGAAATCCTTGCTGGATTTCCAGGACTAATCCTTCCTAAAGCTGTATTTCCATTCTGGGGGAACACTTCCCTTTTGAATTGTTTCAAACAGTGCATTTTAGACACCAGACTGTCTCACAAGGCCACACAGGGACTGCAGGACAGCACTCACCTGAGTGGCACCAATGGCCTGGCTGCACTGGGAAGAGGCCAAGCTGCCCAGAACCTTAAAATTTCTTAACAGCAGCAAAAAGCCAGCGACTGCAGCTTTACGAGCATCGAGCTGCCTGGAAATTGGGACAGGAAAAAGGGTTACATAAGGAAACGTGGAAGCAGGAAGCTCAGAAGCACATAAAATATCAACTCAGCAATGAAAAAAAAGGCCACAAATACAGAGAGAGTGGGCCCTGTACAACTGTATTTCCCAAAAGGGTAGTACAGTCCCAAACAGTCTAGAGCTGGCAGTTTGCTGGAAACTCCCCTGCTCTACACTCTCACAATATTCAATCTCCTTTCTGTCCTTACAATGCTCACACTCAGAGAGAGCCCAGGCCAAGACCCAAGTATTAAATATCCCTTGAAAGCTGGGAGAGTGTCACAGACCTCAGAGTTGAAAAATTTCTAATAAAAACCTGGTGTTTTGCTTTACTCACAGAAATGCCAAGTCTTTCCCAAGACCAAGTCCCTTGCTTTGAAAAATAATCCCAAAATTTGAATTCTATACTCATAACTAGGCAGCCAGTGGTCAACAAAATCCAGTCTACAATCACAGCAGGATGCTTTGCTCAAAGCATGACCAAGACAACACCTTGTAAGGGATCAGAAGGAATGTGGCAGCTCAGCATTTTGATCAATGGCTCCTTCCAGACCTTCCCTGGATGTATTTAGCTATGCTAAATACATGTTACAATTGGTTTTAATTTTGCCTATGTATTTGGAGTTCCCAACAGTTTTCTGAACTTGCAAAGCCCATTCATTCAGATGGGGGTTGGGATTTGTGTCTCAGTTCAGTGAAGCTGTGACTGCACCACAATTCCAGGCTAAAGGGACAGGAGATGTCACTATCTAGTAATGGGAAGAATATTCTGAGAACATACTTAGCCCAAAATAAAAATACTTCTGCTCCAAAACCATAAATGAGTTGTAGAAAATTTTTCAAAGAATCCTCTCCCCAGCTTACCTGGAAAAGATAGCTTTTTGGAGAACAAGTATCAGGGAGTCCCTCACTGACATGCTGACTTTGAGCAGAGGCTGGAAAGGAAAATAACCTTTGGAGAGAAAAGCACTAAGGCATGCCAAGCCCTTGGGGCATATGAGCTCATCTTCCTCAGGCCCATCTGGCCCTGCATTTCCAGTACTGTCATCAGTACAGTAGGAAGACCAAAACATTTTAAAATAGACAAGGAAACCCATAGAGCTGTGGCAGTGAGACACCTTAGCAGGTTAGTGAGGACACAGTGTAAGGGCTTAGGAAAATAACTGTTATCCCCAGGCTGGACAAAGCAGATAAAAGTTAAAACACCAAGGCAGCATCTCAACCTAGGCAAAGAGGAACACTGACATGCAGCTTGGAAGGAGAAAAATCAACGTGACAGCTACAGCTGTTCAGCTAAACACTGTAGATTTAGTTTTCTACTGGGTGCAGCATCTGGGCATCTTCCAGATGAAGGGTCAGCACAGAGCAGTTTTGGTCCTGTGCCAGACCACACCATATGCCTTTTGCTAGAGGGCACATGCAAATCCATGCTTGAAGAACAGTTCCATGCTACACCAAACAACCCACAGCAGAGAATGAAGGCTTATTTAATGAGGAGGGTTATCAGATCATGCATATAATTGTGGCCCAGAGCTGTCACTGGAACTAAAAGAGCAAGGAGATCCATGGAGAAATGCAAAGCTGTACCTGTACTGCCCGGAGAAGCCCTTGCACTGTGTCAATGGGCAGAAAGGACAAATTGTCAAAGGTCTCTGTGACTTTGGAGGATGAAGTCTGAAGCACGAGAGGAGCAGACACAACAATATTGGACAGCAAGTCTGAAAAATAAAAGGACAAAAAGAACAGCTGATGCCAAGGGGCCAGAAAAGCCTGAGCAGAAGATGTCTGCAGAGCTAACAATTACAGACTAATCAAAGACCTTCCATGACACACAGAGGTCATGATAAAATGAGCATCGACAAACTGAGTCTACTGCAGACACCAAGCACTAAAAATGCTCCCAGCCCAGCTGAAGGGCCTCGCCCCACCAGAGGGCACTGAGATGCAAGGGAAGAGGCTGCAGCACTGACATCCCAGCAGCCCCAGTGGCTCCCAAGCCCAAGGACAAGGAGAAAGCAAGGCTGGGAACGTGGAACAGGCAACTGACTGATGATTCTAACTTTCTGTGCGTCAGCTGTTCCATGGCAACTGCCTGCAAACATATTTTTCACCTGTGATGAATACAAGGCAATCTGATGCAGCTGATACCTCAGTCAGAGGAGAAGGAACAACTGATTTTCTTGGCTTCAGGTCACTTCAGTAGGTACTTTGGCAACCAAATCACATCCTGGGCTGCATCAAAAGCAGCTTGGCCAGCAGCTTGAAGCAGGGAATTCTCCCCCTCTACTCTACTTTGGTGAGAGCCCCCTTGGAGTACTGTGCCCAGCTCTGGAGTCCTCAGCACAAGCAGGACAGAGACCTGCTGGAGCAGGTCCAGAGGGGCACAAAAATGCTCTGAGGGCTGGAGCACCTCTGGTATTGAGATGGGCTGAGAGAGTTGGGGTTGGTCAGCCTGGAGAAGCCAAATTTGGGGAGACCTTCTTGTAGCCTTTTGGTACTCAAATGGAGTTTATAAGATGGGGACATACTTTTTATCAGTTGCTGTTGTGATAAGAATAGGGCTAATAGTTTTAAACTAAAAGAAGGTAGATTCAAAGTGGATATAAGGAAGAATTTTTTTTACAGTGAGGGTGGTGAAACACTGGCACTGGTTGCCCAGAGAGGTGGTGCATGCCCCATCCCTGGAAACATTCAGGGTTAGGTTTGATGAGGCTCTGAGCAACCTGGTCTAGTGCAAGATCTCCATGCTCATTACAAGGCAGTGGACTAGATGATCTTCAAAGGTCCCATCCAACCCAAACCCAATTCTGTGATTCTATAACATGTTTTGAGGAGCTGTGTTGTGTGTCCACAGAGCAGAGCACATTTCTCTCTCTTTTCTGTTACCTATGAAGTGGCTGACAGGAGATGCTGCTTTTGTGAGGACTCTGTTCAGGACCTGCTCAAGAATATCACTTCTGATGGGCTCATGAACCTGAATGAGGAAGAACAATAAATAAAAATCAAAACCTTTAAGATACTCCTGTACTTCACAGCACAGGCATTGTACAGTACAAAGCAAATCCACATCTGATAGGTAAGCAAGGATGGTCACCAGAAGTCCCATTTCAGCTAAATCCATACTACTTGATTCAGATTTCATCCCAGAACAATCAGAACCAGCACATCAAGGCACACACAGTACACTCAGAACATAATGGTTCCAATCATCTATGGGATGAAAATTTACCACTTTGGTGAAGATGAATGGGTTTCAATCCCACCTTGTCAGATTTTATTTGTATCTCTGAATTTTTCTACCTTCTCTACTTCTGCAGTTTCTTGGAAACTGTAATACGGATTACACAAGTATCATGACAGCTAGAACAGATTAGAATTAGCTCTTCATGAGGATGGCTGGAAAGGGTCAAATAGGAGACAAAATCTAGCATTGTTTGCAAAACACTCACAGTGGATATAGCAGGCAAGGTTTTGACACTGTTTACCAGGATAGAATAAGAACAGAGTTCTCCCCCCACCAAAAAAAAAAAAACAACTTCTCCAAAACCTACATTACCTTAAACGTTTCCAGCAGGATACTTGCTCCCAGTCTGCAAGCCTGCTGGGCTGGCATTTTTGAAAGGCCATAAGTGTTATCAGCAGCTTTTCCTCCAAAGGGCTTTTTTGGTTCATAGGATTCCATTAGGCTGAAGCCAAGATCCACCAGGCCCTGAGTAACATGGTCCCAACCAAATGCACTGAGGAAAGCATTAAATAGAAGAGGAAAGAAACAACTTAGTCATAGGAAAGTTTGGATTAGAGCAGAGGTAAAATCTTCTGCAGGCATTCCAGGGTCCAAAGCACCAGTGAGAGACACTTAGTGACAGCAGGGAAGATGACAGCCCCCATAACCCTGTGACTGTCTTTAGGCTGAGGGACAGGTGCTCAGCCCATCTCTGCAGTCCTGGCTCTCCATCAGAATTTGTTTCCAACCCGAAGGTTTCCTCACCATGGGGAATGATGTGCCTTCAGGTCTGACCTGAACATAACAGCAGGCTACAACTGGGATGCATGAGTACCCTACTGATGTCAGGATCTTCAAGTTGGAGAAAAACAGAAGAGGAATGCCTCCCATCAAACTAAAGGTCAACTGGTGACAGTCCAGAGCTATTCCACAGGATGTTTAAAGGACTAACCAGTGAACCTACTCTTCATCCCTTGATCAGAACACAAACTACAGCCAGCAGCATGACTCACACTGCAGATTAGGCCCTGATCAGTTTAGTTCTTTGTACCACCAGACCCTGAGATTTGAGGTAGAAGGAGCAGATTTATACAGCCACATGTTGTTGTTTTTGGGTTTTTTTTTAATTCGCTAATATAAAACTGGGTTAAAACCTTTGGATTTTGACACTGATCCCTGCCAGCACATGGTCAGAAGTATTTAGCATCCTAGAGTGTTTTAACAAAGCTGAAACTCTCCCCACTTCTAAAGCCCATTGAATGTTCTGCAGCACGTGGCAGCAACTCACCTATTTTTCACCACTTCCAGAATGACAGCAGTTATATCATACTGTTGAGGAAACAAATCCTGCAGAAACTTGGAGGCCTGAAGGAACTGCAGGTCCTTGCAGCTTCTTGTGATTGATGTTTTCAAGAAATCAAATATCTGGAACATAAAATCATTACGTGTGAGGAAATGATCTTTGAAATGGGACCTGTATAGTCTTGGGTATGTTCCAGTAAGAGCACCAGCCAGACACAAGTTCCACTACAGCCTGCCAAAAATCTTAACTCACCTCTTTGTCAGGACAAATACACTAGTCTCATTAAGTGCCTCAAGGAGGGTGACTTGCTGCCAGATGCTCTTCATGTGGCCACCACAGAGCCAAAACATTAGAAAAACAGACTGTTTTTCTTCTCATCCTACAATACCAACCCACAGGAATCACTACTCTGGAAAATTGTGATATTGCTCTGGGGTCTTTTAGAGTGTTCAGTAAAGTACAGCATACACCAATGATCTAATTGCCTACCCACGAGCATCCTGAAACCATTTTAAGCCTAAATCTGATGGGACTCTGAGCTAACCATGCTTCCTTTCCTTTACAGGGAGTGCAGAGTGCATCCCCATGGAAGCTCTCTGCAAGCTTATCAAGCACATACCTGCTCTTGCAGTCTGTGTTTTACAGCAACTGACAGCAGAAGAGCCACACTGAAGGGACACAGGGCTCTACCAGGGTTCTTCTGTTGCTCAGTCTAGGAAACAGCAAGGAGCAGTGAGAAAACTTGCTGTCTTTACTGAAACACCCTGGAAATTCAGGAAGCCATCAGGCACATGTCTCTTCAAACATATCACAACACTCGCTAAAGAGAACATGACTGCAATCATAAAAATTATTAAATCCCTTGTCCAGGTGATAAATTAAGTTTGCAAACCCTGCTTCAAGAAGTATCTTCAAGAACAGTGGCTGCTCCATCTCTGCCATACCTTCAGATGTCTAATGAGCTCCTCACCCAGGTCCTGGTCCAGGTTGATGACAGAAACAATGTGGAGAATAACGGTGCCTTCCACGTGACGGAGCTGGTCCAGGGGCATTGTGGCCACCTCAAGGTCCACTGACCTGTAAGTTTTACCAGAAAATAACAAGCCAGCCAAAGCCAGAAATCATTCCTTAGGGATCAAGAAGGATGTTCTTGTACAAGGTTTAAGTGTTCAAATTCAGGGAGGCCTGGGCAGGAGCAGTGTGACTACAAATACCCAGGTAGTAAAGAAAGGGGGGACAGGGTAAGGACTTACTGAGGAACCCTCTGTTCTTCCTTCTGTCTCTTATCCAGCTGATTGAAAAAACTGATGATTCCTTCCAAAACAGTCTTCTTACTGCCCTGCAAGGCAGGACATTACATTAAGCCATTGCAGGGCCTGCAGTACCCCAGAGAACAAAACTCAATTCCCACACCTATCACAAATTTAGGGTATCCTTCACTTCCCTCCATAAATTGCTCACGCAGGTGAGCACTCCTCTATGGCTCATTTCCAGATTTCCAGCTTTCATATTTCTTTTGACTGCACTTATTTCTTTTGACTGCATTATAGAATAGCTGGAAGAAACTGAGGCTCACAGGTGTTCTGATTGTCTTCTTTTTTTTTTTTTTTTTTTTTGAAGTTGTTATTAATTAGAAAGACTCCTTTATGTTTTAATCAATTGGGAAGGCTTTCAAATTCCTAACCTTAAATCTAACAATACATTTTGGCCAGTGGACCCAAATGACCCTCTATAACACACATATAATTTTTGTCTTTGGATCATTTTGGCATTGACTTGGTCACAAATGAAGCAAGGAAAAGAGCCAGATCACCCTGTCAAAGGGCAGAAATGTCCCTGGCAGTCTTGCTCTGGAGAAAAGCACAAGAGATGACACATTCCCAGTACAAGTCAGACTACAGCCCAGGAGACAATCCTAGTGCATGAGCTATTATTGTAGCATGCAGATCATAGAGAGAGAGCAAAACCACACTGAGAAAAACCAATCCTCTCTGCTGTCTGCTAGGTCTGTGCTCATCCCTTATTTCCCAAAGGTTTGCTTCTTTTCCCACAAGGAAGACCAAGATCCCACCCTTCTCTGAACAGTCGGCTTCCTCAGGCTAGAGGGAGTTAGAGGAAACAAAACCTGCTGGTGTTCTGTTGTGTCCCTACAGCGTGGTTTGGGAACAATCAGAATCCCTGCCAAAATCCAGACTACAGATCACTCTGGACTTTTTTTTTCTGTTGGACTAAACCTGGGGGAATTCCAGCTCCTGCGAGCTTTACCTTTGCAGAAAGCAGCAGCAGCTGATAGACCAGAGGGGGAATTTCCTGCAGGTCTAACTTGGAGAACATCCTAAGGACCTTTTCCACCACAAACTGCAGCTCCTCTCCTGATAGTGGAATATCCCTGTTGAATAGAAGATTTTTTTTTCATTAATACATTGTTTATTTGCCAAGGTTCACTCACACATGGAACAAAAACCACAATGCCATGCCCAGATGTGTTTTGCATCCATATCTGGTGTGGATGCTCACTGACCAGCCATCCATGGTGCTCTGCCTGCTATAGTCAGCCCTCCTATTTGTACTTGCCCCAGACTGCTTATGAAATAGGACACAGACAGAACCATGGCACAAGTTGATGTTGAAGATAATAAGAATTACCTGAACATGTTGGCAAGATGTATCACACACCGAGGATCCCACCTGGTAAAACAAAGATATGTTGGAAGATTGTCAGCAAGCTGGACTATCATTTAACTCTCCCCTCCTACACAATTATTCAATGACACTATTTCCCTGTTACATTCTGATACTAAAATTAGAAGCCAGATTTCCACCAGAAATCATCAGCACCAATCTAACTACCCACATTTCCATAGTTCTGAACTGCCCAAGCCCCTTTAATAACAAATGCCAGAAAAGGAATAAAACCAAGCACTTCCTGAGACCAGTTCATGCAACAGTCTCACAAGATCTGGGAACAGGGTACTCCATTGCCTTCCCAGCTAGAGAAGACAGTGTCAGAGAGAGCACAGATTCAAGGATGACAGGACACACAGCCCGTGGTGATGCTTTTCCCAAGCACAATGTGAAATACAATGTTTTGCCACGTAACCAAGACCTGCCAGACACACGTACTTGCTGGAGCAGAGGGTATTTATCAGCTGTTTCTTAAACTCTTCCCCAGTCAGTTCACCTGAAAAAGCAAAAGTCTTAGGAGTTGATTCCAGAGGAAGGGAGTACAAGCTGCAGAGAAGGAGTTGACAGGGGGTTACCTTTCCCATAAGCCAGGTTCTCCTTTGAACTGGCCAGGGCCGTGAGAACAGTGGAAAACAGCTCCAAGGATTTCCCATTGGTCAGGCTGCCCCCTTTAATGACATCCACAAACAGGCTGGCAAGCTCTGCTAGCGCGTGGCCTGGCAGCTGGCGGGCCTGGGAGAACACAAACAGGAGACAGCCTGAGGCAGTACACAGAATTCAACAAACATCCAAACTGTCACCAAAACCCAGCAGAAGACAGAATTTCTTACAGGGAAATGCTCCCTTAAAGGAAAATTCAGCCCTGAGATCTCTGTTTTGTACTGTTCTTTACAGAACAGAGCAATAAATCAAGATTATGTGATTATAGGTTTAGAGTTTTGAGCCTAAGATTAAATATCTAAAGATAATAAAATTCACACACAGAGCCAACTCCAACACCAGCTAATTTAGTCTAAGGAAGATCCATGGAAAGGATACAACTAATTTTCCTCAGTGGTTTAGAGAAATATCTCAATTTACATATTAAATTATACTCAGCAGATCACAGGAAAGCCAGCCCAAAGGAGCTTTACCTCCAGCATCAGCAGTCCTATGATCTCAGACACCTTGCTCAAATGCAGGTCCCCTGATTCCACTAGTGGGACACAGTGCTTGTAAACCTGGAGTCTCCTGAGAACACCGCTTCTCTGGGAACAGGGGGAGCCTTACAGCCAGAAAATAGAGGGACAAAAGAATGGGGAGAAAAGTTATGCAAGTAATATGTTGCTGAACTACAGGAAATCAGCAGGGATGAACTGTCACCTGGCTGCAACTTCCTATTTTACCTATCTGACAAAATAAATAAAAAACCCCAGAGAACAGGAAACGAGATATTTGGATAAAGTAGTCGGCCACTCTGTTAGCACATCCTGTGGTTCAGGATGTGCTAACAGCAGCCGGTGTCAAAACTCTGAGAAGAACCAGCTTGGCAACCAGCTCTCCTCACCTGCCCAGCTCAGCGCTACTGCAAGGTCCCTAAGGGCTCTCAAAAGTAAACCTTAGTCACCGCGGGCTCTCCACAACTCCAGTCCGGTTTGCTATCTCTGTCGTGCTGGGACAGCCCTGGCGAGCGGGTTTCTACCAAAAGTGACGCTTCCCTGTGCGGTTTCTTACCAAAAGTGACGCTTCCCTGTGCGGTTTCTTACCAAAGTGATGCTGCCCTGCGCTGCAGAGCTGCACCCACCGGCCCCCAGCAGGGCTGGGCCCACAGCGCGCTCGTCACGCACCTTTGAAGATCCCTCTCAGCAGAGCCGCCGTCTCCCTCCCCTTCAGGGCCTGCCTGGTCACCATGTCCCCCAGCTGCAAGAGACAGGGGGATGCCGTGAGCCGCCGCTGCGGCGCAGCCCCGCTCCCCGCCCGGCCCGCGGGCAGCGCGCACCTCGCCCTCCGCCAGGCTCTGCAGGGCCTCCTGCAGCCGCTCGGGGCCGTCCTGGGCCGCCAGCGAGAGGATGCGCTGCGCCATGGGGCCGGGAGCCGCCCGCGGCCGCCGCTCCGTCCCCCGAAATTCCCGCCCGGAAGTGCCCGCGCGTCACCCGCGGAGCAGCTCCCGCCCTCCCGCCGCGCCGCGGGTTCGAGTCCCGCGGGGGCCAGCGGCGTGCGGGGCGGTGACACCGAGTCACAGGGAGGGACCGCGGTGGGTCTCCTGCTCCGGCCTCCCGGGGCGGGTATCCTGCTTCGGCCTCCCTGCGCAGAGCACGGGCACAGCATTGCAGCCCGATGGTCCTGGGGTGTCTCCCGTGAGGGAAACTCCACGGCTGCTCCTGGAGCGGGGTGGGCAGCCGGGGTACCCACATTTGGGCACAAAGTGCCCATTCAGGGCCACCCCGCATCGGCAGCGAGTGCCACCCACGTGCGGCTCAGATACATTCGGGTAAACCCCTTAATTCCGGGGGATGTGAGGGGTGGCCTCTGGCGTACCAGGAGGTGTAGCCCTCCCTTAAGCTGCGGGATTTGGCCAAAGGATGCGGTGCCAGCCCAGCGTGGGAGCTTTCGCAAGCCCCGTGCTCACACGGAGCAGGGGTTGATGCTGCGGGTTTGACATGGGGCTGTGGGCAGGGAGATAACCAGACCTGGGAGAGAGGAGCACTTAAGGCTCTGTCACAGTCCCTCCCGAGACACGTTCACCCGGGACAAAACACTCTCTTCGTGATGCCAGGGGTTGTACATGTGTCTGCAAAACTGTTTCACCTGTGATGACCATGCTGGCCAGGTGCCTCAGGGGTCACAGGTTCTCTCTGGCACCCCAAGAGAGATTATTGGGTCTGTTTGGGAAACCCCATGCTGATGATGTACCCCTGTTACGCACTGTTTTGCGCTGAGCTGTGCACAAAGGTCCAACGAGCTGTAGGAGGGAGCTGAGCCTTGCACCAGGGCTGGTGTGAGAAGGGGATGGGAGGGCTGGGTTCTCCTCTGAAGAGCAGTGCACAGGGCCTCAGGCCACAAAGTGCATTGCTCAGGGTTTTGGCACAGGTCTGAATGTTCCCTCAGCAGCACCCCAGCCTTTCATCTGGAGTCTCGTGCCTTCCTCCTCCTCCCTCCCTCACATTGGGGTCTCAGCTCCGCTTGCAGGACAGCCCCGTGTGGAAACCAAATCCCTAAATCCCAGAGGCATTACAAAACATGCCTTGTGTAAGTCCCTTCAGCCCTGCTCTGATGCTTAGCCTGGCCCTGCCAGCTCCCCGAAATCCCCATCATGGCAAGAGCCTGGCCAAGCTCCTCTCCTGGGCTTGAGCACAGCTCCATCCTCTCCACATCTTCATGCAGCTCCCACAACCCTTGACCCAAAGAATGAAGGCTGCAAGGGCTCTCCTGCCCTATAGCTTCAGCATGCTGGGGCAGCCCAGAGAACCCATTTTGCCATCCTGCTGCACCCACATGTGGACTGACCTTTGTTTCTCCCACATCCTGGGGCTCCCCTCCCTATGGGTCTGTGGCATCTCCCTGGGGGTGGATGGCTTCCAGTTCCCAGAGCTCCGAGCACTCAATCATCACTTGAGGGTATTGTAGAAATTTTGCCCATGTCTTTTTGTTGTAAAAGCTGAAAGGGGCCTTGTATGGATGCTGGTTTGAGAGGCCTCATAGGGGAGGAATTGGAGAGCCCCAGGAGCATCCTCTGCTGCAGACCCATCCCCGCAGCCAGACCCTGCCCACATGGCTGGATTCACAGCAGGATCTTGCCAGGGTTTTTTGGGCAGAAGCTGGGGAAGAGACCTGTCCTGCTCACCCTGGGGAGCAGGCCGGGATGGCAGGCTGCCCACCACCTGCCTCTGCCCCTGCCCCGTGCTAATGAGCGAGTTACACAACAAGGAGCTTTTATACTTTGTTAATCGGTCCGGCATCCAGCCCGCCTCTCCACGCACGCTCCGGCTGGCGGTGGAGCCCCAGCTCCCTCCTTCCCTCTCCTCAGTTGCCTTTTGTAATGTTTTAATGGGGTTTCTTTCCTGGGCTGGGCTGACTTAATTGCAAAGCTGCAGTGAGTTGATGCCTTGTGACGGTCTAATCCCAACCCGGTGACTCTACAAAGCTTTCGCCCGGTTTCCTTGCTGCTCCACTCCGGCCTCGCCATCCCTGCTCCCCTCTCAGCTCCGTGCACTGACCTGCCGAGGACAGTTCAGCTTTTCCTCTTCCTGGTGAGTATCCAGGACATTTTTCAGCTGAAAGGACTGTGTTGAAGACCATCATCCAGCCCTCACTCAACCTGGCACCTCCAGAGCTTGAATTGGTTTTGATGCCTGGAACAAGGGGATGCCTCTCCATTTCCCAGAAGGTGGAGAGAAAGAGAATGCCCCTGGGAAATGGATGAGCTGGAGCCAAGCATCCCTCACACAGCCTGGGCTTGGAGCTGGTGCTACAGGGGTAGATGCTGGAAGTAGGATGAAGGATTCTCATGTATGGGAATAAGGTGTTTCATCCAGACTGTGTTGGAAAGATGCTGAGATGTTTACAGTCCAGCCTTGCAGTTGGTAGAGCAGTGAGACTTGAGAGTTTGGGAAATACTTTGTAGATGAGTATTTATTTTGGTAATACTATTTATTTTGGTAGCAGAAATAGAAGGATGAGCTGGCTGCCTGGCCAAAGTTGGATGCTCGCCTCTGCCAATGTGAAGGTGGTCTGAGACCACCTGGGTGAGTGCAGGCTGAGATGCCCCCAGCCCAAAGAGGAAAGGCAGAGTGAGAAAAACATGTGAAGGTATCAGATGATCAATACACAGATTTTTAAGCTGCTTTTGCAAACATCCCTGGTGTTTCTCCAGGCTGCTCAGGTTCCTCGGGCAGGCAGAGATGCAGGCAGTAGGTGATGGAGCTGAGGAGGGCTGGGGGTGTCCTCTGGACACCCACTTCTGCCCCCATCTGTGCAAGATATCAGGGAATGGGGCACAAGGGAGGCCGTGGAGACCATTTGGATCCATGCTGATTCCTCCTTCCCTCTGCCAGTGTCCTGCTGCCAACAGAAGACAGAGGACAACATGTCTGCAGTTGTGAGTACTGTCCCCACGCTGCCCCATCCTCTGGGCTCTGACCATGCCCTCCCTGCAGTGCTGGGATGGGGTGCACAGGGTGCACCTTAGTCCTAGCAGCACACAATCCATCCCAGCCCCAGCGTGCATGTGTGGAGCCTCTCCCCTTCCCCGTGGCTCCCAAGGAGACTTGCAGTGGGGCAGGGAGCTGGGGGGCTGTCTGGGGAGCCCCCACATCCTCTCCTCCCCCCAGACGGGCACGTTCCGGATCGTGTCGGAGGAGGAGCAGGCGCTGCGCTCCAAGCTGGAGCGCCTCACCACCAAGGACCACGGCCCCGTCTTTGGGAGGTGCGAGAAGATCCCCCCACACACCCTGCAGAAGGTGAGGAGGCTGTGGGGAATGGGGGGCAGCTGCAGCCCGAGGCTCCTGCTCCTCAGGGGCCAGAGGAGACTCTCGACTGCCTCTTGCACTGGTGGGGGATGCACTTGCCAAAATGTCTCCAAGCTGGGGATTGAGTGACCCTGCCTTCCTGTCCTCCCCCAGTTTTTGGGTGCCTCCTCGACCCTCGGGGTGTTTTAGAATGTGTGTGTGGCATCACTGGGTCCCCTGTCTGTCCCCCCAGGCCAAGGATGAGCTGAACGAGACGGAGGAGAAGCGGGAGGTGGCGGTGAAGGCGCTGCGGGAGCTGGTGCAGGAGCGGGCGGGCAGCGAGGACGTTTGCCAGAAGGTGGCCGAGAAGGTGCAGGAGAGGGACGACTCCTTCTTGCTCCGCTTCATCCGTGCTCGCAAATTCGACGTCCACAGAGCCTATGACCTGCTGAAAGGTGGGGAGGGGTCCTGGGCTGTGATGCTGTGTGAGGATGAGGGTACACATCCCCCAGCAGCTCCCAGTCCTGTGCTGGTGCCTCCTAGCCCAGACTGGACTGTGCTGGCAAAGCAGGACCCTGACATGGGAAGGGAATGAAGAGAGGGGATAAATAGAAAAATTCAGGGTTTGGAGAGAGGGTATGAATAGAAAAAGTCAGGATTGAGGGGCTTGGAAGAAGTTGTGATGGGGAAAGAAATAAATGAGGGTGACACCAGGCTTCCTGCAGCACCAGGACAATCCCATTCCTCACAAGTTTACTCAAACAAAATGGAAAAACCCCTCACATTTGGTGATGGTGTTTTTCGTGCAGCAAACCCAGCTGGCTTGGGCTGCATCCCCTGGAGACCCCCATGCCCTGTACATGCCCCACACTCCCCCCTCTGTACCCCTGTAAGGAGCCAGTTCTGCACCCTCAATGCTTCTGTGCATGGTGCCTGGGAGGCTCTGCACCCCCCTGGGGCACCTCTAGGTCTGGGGACAGGTTGGGGTGCTTGTGGCACCCTCTCCTCACACTGGGAGTGACCCATAGGCATGGAGGGGGAACAGAAGAGCAGCCTAGAGGGTGGCTGCTGACTGGAACCTGCCTGGCTCCAGCTCTGCTCTTCTTTGTGTCAGCTATGGGGATAATGAGTTGTAATTATCAGTGCTGGCTCTCAGACGAGCTGTTTTGTTTGCCTGCATTTTCCCAGGATGAAATTCCTTATTTCGTGCCTGCCAGGTGCCAAGAGAGGGTAGATGGGGGTTTTCACCCAAACAGGGAGGAAGGGGAGAAGGGAAATGAGGGGGGAAATTACTTTATCTACTTGTTAAGGAGTTGGAAAGAGAGCAGGTGTGGGAGTTTCCTGGCTAGGGGAGGGGTAACACCAAGCATGCTGGGGCTGGTCTGCTGCTGAGCTTCTCTTTCCCCCTTTGCTGGAGGAGACCTGACCCATGTGGGCCACAGACAGCACTGACATCTCACCATCAGCCCATCCTGTCTCTGGCTGGGAAAGCAGGCTGGGAAAGCAGGCTGGGAAAGCAGGCTGGGACAGCAGGCTGGGAAACAGGCGGTTTTGCAGTTGTTTCCTCTCTCCAGGCTACGTGAACTTCCGCCAGCAGTACCCCGAGCTGTTCGACAACCTGAGCCCCGAGGCCGTGCGCAGCACCATCGAGGCCGGCTACCCCGGCATCCTGGCCAGCAGGGACAAGTACGGCCGGGTGGTGATGCTCTTCAACATCGAGAACTGGGATTACGAGGAGATCACCTTCGATGAGGTGAGCCCAGCTCAGAGGCTGCTCCCACAGCAGCGGTGCTGCTTTTGGGCTTGTCCCGCTCGGCACACGTGAGCACATCCTCCTTACACACACATGTGTGTCCGTCCAGCCATACAGGTGGAAGTAAGTCTGTAGCACTTTGTATTTATCCTTTGAGGGAGCCTGGGAAAGTATGGTCTACTGATATTTCTCCCCTCTCAGCCCCTAAATTATCAGGCTAGCCCAGAGATCAGAGGCTGCGAGGGGAGGAATATCAGGAGATGGCAAAGATTTCCAAAAGAGGCTCTTACCCCAATATATGTTGGTTCAGCTCTTTATTCTGTGATGCCCATGGGGAGAGTGGGGCAAAAGAGAACGAACAGGAAATGTCAGGGGTCTATCTAGATTTTGGGCAGGGAGGCCTTCTTGGCTCTCCACCAACCCTGTCAGGGCAGGAAGGAGGGTCCAGGGTTATCTGATCAGTCACAGGGTCCCGGGGAATGGGGAACAGAATGCCCATGAGCACAATGCAACAGTCTACCCCAAAGGATGCAGTGCAAGATGCATGCCAAATTCAGGGTATGCATCCCCCAGCCCATGTAACATGGGTTGCAGAAAGGCACCACACCATTAAATCAAGGGCACAGGAGGAAACTGAGGCCCAGGGCATGAAAAGGGTTTCTTGGCAAAGAGGTTCCAAACATGTAACTCACAGCTTCTCATGGTTTCCTTTTCTGCTTAGCCCTGAATCTGGTCTCAGTGTATCACTGATCCAGATCTAAAGCTCATGACTTGAAAAGAGAATGTGATCACCCCCTCCCTGCTCTGAAATCTGGGGGCTGGCGGTGACAAGCAGGCTGGAGCCCAACAGACCCTGGATAACGCTCCCAGAGTACCCCCTAGGGTCTGTGGGAGGTGAGACCTCATACAAGACCCTGCTGTCTCTCCTCTCCATTAGATCCTTCGTGCCTATTGTATTATCTTGGAGAAGCTGCTGGAGAACGAAGAGACCCAGATCAATGGGTTCTGCATCATTGAGAACTTCAAGGGCTTCACCATGCAGCAGGCATCAGGGATCAAACCCTCCGAGCTCAAGAAGATGGTGGACATGCTGCAGGTGAGGTGGCACAGTCTGCACCCAGCAGTGGCAGAGGGGACCCTGGGGAAGCAGGGAGCTCAGAGAAGGGAGGTGGCAGGGCTAGCAGGGTTTGGAACAATGAAAAAGCATCGTGGAGAGGCTCCACCACCCTCTCCCTGCCTTGCCAGCTAATTGGCTTAACCCTGCAAAATCTTCCCCACCCCATCTTCCTCCTCAAATGGCTGGCCAGAAGCAGTACTACCACTCCTTGCAGCATCCTAGAGCATGGCCTGGAGGGCTTTCCTCATGAGCCTCTCAGCCCAGCCTGGCCCAAGCTGGATGGAGACTCACAGACTCCTGGAGACTCCAGAATTTCTGCCCTTGGACCAAATGCCAAAGACACTCGGCTCTTCCCAGGGGAGGTCCTTCTCAAGGAGTGGGAGCAGTGAGCTGTCTGGGAGGCTCTTCAGCTCCCTGGTACTCCTGAGGCCAGGATGGTTGATGCTCTGGGTCAGAACAGAAAAGGGCCATCAAATAGAGAAGGGGACATGGAGCAAGGACAGCCGTGGCAGTGCTGGTGTATCCAGTGCTGCCTGCTCAGATCTGGGCAAGATCTGAGCAAAAGTGAGATCACCATCTGTAACCATCTGTGTCTGGGTTTGGGATCCTAGGACTCCTTCCCAGCGCGGTTTAAGGCCGTCCACTTCATCCACCAGCCTTGGTACTTCACCACCACCTACAACGTGGTCAAACCGTTCCTGAAGAGCAAACTGCTGGAGAGGGTGAGTGTGGGAAAGGGACCTGCAGGCAAAGGCACGCCCTTGGGTGAAACAGAGCAGCTGGGGAGAGCTGCCCTGGTCCTCTGCTGAGGGTCACTCCCATCTCCCTCCAGGTCTTTGTGCATGGCGAGGAGCTGGAATCCTTCTACCAGGAGATCGACGCTGACATCTTGCCAGCAGACTTTGGTGGCAACCTGCCCAAGTACGATGGCAAAGCAACTGCAGAGAAGCTCTTTGGGCCTCGCATCGAATCTGAGGACACGGCTCTCTAAAGCAGGAGCCTGCTGCCCTCCCCTGCACCGCAGCGCCAGAGGTGGCCCTCTAACCCCAGAGGTGGCCCTCTAACCCCAGAGGTGGCCCTCTAACCCCAGCCACCTCCCTCCTGTAGCATCGGTCGAGTGAGTGCTCGTGCTGAAGCACCCTGGGTGTGCTGCTCCATGCCTGTCCCTCCTGTCCCCACTCCAGACAGAGGGCTGTCCCTCCCAGGCACAGATCCTTCCCTCCAGAGCTGCTGGAGAAAGGAGGTCACCAGCCCTCTCCCACAGCGTTTCCTGGAGCTGCAAGGGGAGGACGGGAGAGCGTCTGCTCTGGGAAGGGAGTGCTACAGTGAGGGAGAAATAAAGCGTTTAACAGCAGAGCTCTGCGGTCCCTCATGGTGAGGAACAGGGGCACAGCTTTTTGGGTGCTGGCTGCATTGCTGGTTCTAAGATCAGGAGTACCAGCGTTTGGCAGGAGACTCCTGTCCCCTCATCATTGACTACACTTTGGCACTGGAATCAAGGAACCGCCTATCTCCATCCTCCCTGCATTCCAGATCAAGTCCCTTTCTTGCCTGAGAAAGGGCCCCCAGTTCTTTTTCATATGCTCTAACCAGGGAAGAGAAAACAGATGCAAACAAAAACCCAACCAGGGTCCTAGGTGGAGCTGTCTCTGCCTAATTCCTGCTTGGGCAGGAGCCATTGAGACTAGGAGATGGATTTCAATCGCAAAATAATTGAAAGAAAATCAGAATGTACCCTCCTAAATCCTTCAAAAGCATCAGCACAGTTGTTTCTCCTAGCACTGCACTGTGAAAGGGAGCTCATTCAGGGAAGCCCCACCAAAAGTCACCATGGAGGGCAAAGGATGGTACCTGTGCAGCAAACAAGCTGCAGCTGACACTAATTACACCTTGCTCAGGTGGGGAAGAGGGAGGAATAAGTAGCTCTCCCAAGCAAGGGAGTCAGTTCTGGTTCATGAACGAGGCATCTCCTCCAAAGAGCCAAACCCATTCCCTGACCATCTGCTCCCTTGGCCAGCAGCAGGGCTCAGAGAGGAACAAGTTCTGGGTCTCTGCCCAGGTTACCTTCTCCCTGAGCCTGGTCCCACAGTGGGTCCCGTCCCCCCTCCCAGGGAGGGAGGGACTCCACACGGGTCCTTTTCATCAGCCAGCCTAGCCCCCCCACCCAAAGCTGGCTGAGGTGGAGGGTGCTGACAAGAGCCACATTCATCAGGGCCCTGGCTCAGGCTCAAACCAAACAGGACAGTGGCTCTGAAGCTGCAGGGAGGACAGGGTCTGTCTGGGGTTAATGTTTGCTCCAGCCTCAGCTGCTTGCTGAGTCCATGCATGGAGAGTCCCAATCCTTAGGCTGTGCCAACCTTGTGCAAGAGTCCAGAGACAGAGCAAAAGGCACTTCTCCACCTCCTTTGGCTCCTTTCTGCACCTGGAGCCATCCCAAGGAAACCTTGTGTGACAACCCTGCAAGCATCAGGCCAGTGCAAACACAACAGCACAGCTTGCCTGGGATGCAGAGCAACTGCAGCTTGTGGAAACAGAACAAGGGGAAACAAACCCATTCACACAGACAGGAGTATCACATTGCTGCCCAGGGGTTTAGACTGGGATAGTCTCGGCTCTTGGGAGGTGCCCGTGGCTGCTCACCACTCCTGTGACAAATTGTCAGCCAGGAGCTTGCTGTGATGGGGAGACAGGGAACAGCCCAGCAGAGCTGGGAGCTGAGTGACTGACCAAGGGAGGAAGGAGTTCTGAAGTGGATCTAACAGCTAACTCACAACAGCCACTCAATTACAGATGAAGCCCATTGTGTCCCACAAATCACCCAGTCCAGCTGCCCCAGCAGGTCACCAGTCCCAGTTACCCTCCACAGCTCCCTCCCCTGGGCTCTAGGTAACAAACCACACAGTGGAGAGTTGTCAGGGGCAGCTGAGCAGAGCTTTTGCCAGGGCTTTTGTATGCTCTAGGCTCGAAGATGTCACTGTCCTGGCCAGAGATGCTGGCTTGTGTTTCTTCTGCCAGCAGCTCAAAGATTAAGACATGCGCTTGCTCTCACATAGAGAAAAATAAATGCTCTATTCCACTGGCAAAAATAACTTTTTCAGTAGTTTCACAGCAGATGTGGTTTTTTAAGCTGATGCTATACCTATTCTCCACCAGAGTGGCATCAAAGACTTCTTCTTGGCCAGAAGACAAAAAGAAACCAGGAAAGGCTTGAGCACGAGTGCTTCTATCACCTGCCCCCCAAGCTGGGCCTCAGGGAAGACTGAGAGCCTCTGCCAACACATGGAACTTCACACACAGGCACTAGCTGTAGCACAGACTTCAATAAGTCCTTTATTTTTAAATAAAGAAACCCCACTGAATCAAAGATAACAAAATTACATTTTGTTCTGCAATGACTTCCATTTTACACCACACAAGAACAAAAATTAAAGAAAAAAATCAAAGACAGTTTTATATATATTTATATATAATTTTAAAGGTAAACATCAGCAGATATAGAAAAATTGCATTGCTAGTTGCAAATCATCTCCCCTGCAGCTCTCAGCTCCAGAGAATCTGACTCAGAACATGGCAGCAGGGAGGGTGTCTCAATATACAGGCTTCTTTAGGGCAGCATTTAGAGATAGTTACAGACTATAACTTCGCCAAATTGAAAATATTTTCATAGTCAACTGCTCACCAAGAATACTGGAAGTCACTCTGCCTGTTCTAACACAGCTGCATGAGAAAAACAAGGGCACAGGCCTCCTCTTTCCAAGCTCTTTACACACCTTTTTGGCTAGGAACTTTCAGAGAAAGAGGTTATGCTTTTCTCAAGAAGAATGGCTAGAGATCTGTCACTGGGAATTACAGTCAAGCTATCATGTAACAATGACACAATTTGCACCTTTGGAAAGGTGTTGACTTGGGCTTATAACAAATACAAATGGGTTTTATTTGGCTTTTTTTTTTGTTTTAATTTTAAAGACTTTCCAGTTGGCAGGGACCATGAGATGGGTCAATATCCCAGCAGAACTATAGTGGAGATCCAAGAAGAAAATTCTGTATGTCCTCTGTGGTCATGCAAGGACTTTGATTCCAATGGAAACTCGTCAGTCAGACCAAAGCAAAGGGGCTTTGTGGCACCTTGTACAGGTGTTCAGCATAACTCCAGAGACCTTTCCAGCATGGAAAGCTGGCACTGCTTTGACTCATTGATGGCACTTGTGCCTAAGCTCCCCTGGCAGCTGAGGCAGTCCAGGCCAGTGTCACTCCCACTGCCAGTGAGAAGAGGGTACAGTAAAACAGGGCACCCTCCCTTGGGCTGGTGCTGCTCTGAGGCATTCTAAGCTTGGAGAAAAATCATAAAGTCAAGAAGGGCTGTTTGCTCTCCACCTAGAATCCATGGAAGAGACACTGCTTTGAGTCACTGTGGCTCCAGCACCTTCCCAAATGAACCAGCCCACATAAGGGATATGGACACATGGAGCATGACTCAAGCCAGACACAAGATGTTCTTCACAAGTGACATACACAGGCAGCACAAGGCTCAGGCCTTCTCTGGTCTCACAAAACCAAAAAAACAAAAACAAAAAAACAACCTGAAGGATTTCATTAAGCTCCAGATGAGCATAGTATTTCCAGAAAAACTTGGAAGCAATCCCGGTGACTACACTGGCAATTAAGTCCTGAAGATGGTACTCTCTGCTCTCTCCTTTGAGATGTATCCACTTGAGCAATTTACCTCCAGCTATGCTGCTGGAGTGTTAACAGACAAAAACTTTGGGACTGCAAGATAACAAGTCACATATCAAGCAAAACAAACCCTGCTTCTATGACTCAATTCCTACTGCTAAAAGAGCAGAGAGCTGAAAGTGATCCACTGCTTATATACATTGTTATTTTCAGCCTTGAAACTGACTGTAGCCAGTAGTAGGCTGCCCACAGAGGTCCTTGAAGTCAGCACTCAGTTGTGCTGTGTGCATCACTGGCGTGTCTCAGTAATAGTGTCTGAAAATTCATTTACCAAAAACCAAAGCCCCAAAAGCTCTGACAGAGCTGTTAGTGAAGTCTCTAGATATGCTGATGTCAAGGGAGGAGGAGGAAAAGGGCAAGGCACCACGTGTCAAAGGGCTGTGGTCTAGGAACTTGTGACAGACCCAGGACAGATGACACACAGGTAGCTTGGCAAAATTCAGTACTGGAGTTAATAGTTCCCAACATTTTTACTTAATGCCCTGTCTTTGTAACCCATACCTTCATAAACAGGAACTGCAGAAAAACACTCAGGAAAAGGATTGCAGGGAAGTTCACTGTTTGCCTTTACAGTGCAACTACAACACTGCCAGACCCACCTGAAAACACCTTGATTTAGAACAAAGGGACAATTAAAAATGCTGGCAGAGCTCTTGTAGTGGAAGCTGAAGTTCCTTGTGTTCAGTCAGAGCAAGTCTGAGCTGCTTATTTACCATCTTCCAGAAAAATGGCAAAGGTGATGGTTGGACCAGCCTAACCATCAAAGAGTAATTGTTCTGCAACTTGCTGTCTGATTGAGAGGGTCCTCAGGGTTCATGTTCAAGTGCTACTTACATTCAGTGATGGGGAAGGTGTGTTTACCATGAGACCAACCATGGAAGAGCTCTCCTAACGATTTTTCTAATCCCAGTTTGAAACTAAGCAGAGCACATGTCAGATTCACCATGTTGTAATCTTGAACTACTCTATCAGACCACACTGCAGTGATCTACAAGTGCACACTTCAGCAGCCTCATGTGTTTTGACAAGAGATGAAAGATTTCACCTCTAAGACTGAAAAATTCAGAGTGCATTTAAGGCTGGGTTCACTGGGCAAATAAAGACCACCTGCCCACATAACAAGAGTAGTAGTGTCTTATTTTGGGAGATAACAGTATTTCAAATTAGGACTGGACAAAGCCTCATGTGTCACTAGGTATCAATTATCTATCATTGTCAGTAGCAAGATTTAATAAATAATTTAGATAACATGAACTGCAGCTTAATTCTCTCCTCTCCTAGTTTTCCAATGCCTCTAAGTGACTGACTGCAAGTCTGAATACAAGTACTGCTTTGGAAGAAGCATCAAATTTGTTGAGATGGAGAGAACAGATTGTTTTCTTTTTTACACTGCTTCCACCTACAGGCTTAATAAGCTGAACCTCAAGCTCCAGAAACCTTGCACAAAAAAGCCACAAAAGTTGTCCTTCCCCAAATAAGCCAGACTCAGTCAAGTCACAAGTGATTTGAACAGTTTTAGATTCAAGTGCAAAACCAGGGCAAAGGAGCAAGACAGAGACCCACGGTACTTCTGTAGTGGAGAGTTTCAGAAAGTCCACAGCATTGGCACTGCTGAAGA